ACGAGGGCGGGCGCTGTGCGCCCGCTTCCCGCAACCGTGCACCCGCAGGGCGCCTCTTGCCCGCCTGTACGCTGAGGAGGAGGGACGCCGCCGGCTCCGCACCTTTCCCGCGAGCCCTGTGCGTTTCTGTTTGGTGTCGGTGCTCCCCGCTGTTGTGGCGCCATGGAGCGCGTGTTCACGCCGCTGGACTGCCTGCTGCCCGCGGGTACGGTACCTCTGCGCGCGGGCGGCGCTCCCGCGCGGCGGCGCCAACGGCCGCAATGGCCCCAACGGTCGCTGAGAAGCGGCGCGGCCGCGGCGCTAGGGCGAGGAGGACAGAGCCTCCCTCCACAGCGCTCTGAGGACGGGGAAAAGTTAAAGCCTGGGTGCCTGGGTTGGTCTGATCTCCCAGATTGGTCTCATCTCCCAGCCCTTCATTTCTGTTAAACCGTTGTAACCTACCGGGTAAGGAGGTTGCATTGACTTCGCTGAATCCCAGGGTGTATGCACAGCACTTACTATGTCCCCTGCTTGACATGTTTGAAGCTTAATTTGCTGGGTATCATGTGGTGGAAGCAGGGGGAATGCTTCTGTGCTTGTCTGCCCTGACCAACTGATGGGTGATCACAGGTTCAAGTCACATAATTGCACCCTTGTGCTTATTTTTAAAACAATAAACTGTAAACTGTCTGTTTTGGTTTGAGGAGCTGCGTGTATCTGTTAAGCAGCAGTACCTTAAGTGAGCATAACAGAGGTATGCCATACGCAAGCTGCAGTTTTTATGCAGGAGTTTGTTACCCTTTTAACCACTTCAGTTTCATTTGGTGCCTCCAGTCAAATTGACACAGTTTCTTGGGTTACTTCAGTAAAGTTTGCTTGGTTTGGCTAGAGAACTTGTGGACTGGGGTTCTTGTTGGTGCTTTGCAGTATGCTGCCTGAGAGCTCTCTCTTTCCCCTCTTCTTTGAATCCACCATATGCACCCGGCCTAGCTCTTCAGTTATGCGTGATAAAGCTTCTGGATTTTTTTTTCTTATATTATTGGTTTTATTTAGCTTAGTTTTGTTTAGTTTTCCCATTCTTAAACTATTCTTGTGTGTTCAATTTTTTGTTTATGTTTTTGAGACCTGAGAGGCAAGTATGGCCATGAATGTGTGTCACTAATCCCACCATCTGTACATAAGGATAGAGCACCTGTAGCAGACGCAGGTTCACGCAAGCAGCATGTAAACCCTTCAGAATAGGC